GTTATACATTTTTAATCTAATTTCATTTTCTGCAGCATGATTTCCAATTTTTTTCTTCTTTTTCTTGTAGTATTTTTCTTCTTTTTTTCTCTTTTCCCCTCTATTTCCTACTTTCTTTTTCTTTTACCTTACTCTCCTGTTTAACTGCCAAGCCCTTACCCACTGCCTAGGCATGGCTAGGTGCACAGTAGCTAGACATCTGAACATTGTGAGTTTCAGAGAATTCTTTGCCCCACACTGTAGTGGTTGCAAAAATATATGCATTTATCATGTTGTATACCACAAATATATACAATTTTGTCAATTAAAAAATAAACAATTTTTTAATCTTAGCTATTCTGATTGGGGTTAGGTGGTATATTATTGCGGTTTTGATTTGCATCTCTCTATCTCCCTTATGCTAAGGGATGTTGAGCTTCTTTTTTTTTTCTTTTTTTTTTTCATTTGCTTTTGGCTGTTCATATGCCTTCCTTAGATAATTGTCTGTTCAGCTCATTTTCCCCATCTTTCAATTAGATCGATTTTTTTGTTTCAGGTAAGCTGCTTGAAGTTCCCTATATATTTAGGTTATCAGTCCCTTATCTGAGGCATACTTTTCAAATATATCCTCCCATTCCAAGGGTTGTCTCTTCACTCTAATGATTGTTAGTTTGCTGTGCAGAACCTTTTAACTTAATGTACTCCTACTTGTCTATTCTATGCAGAGAACAATACATAGGTTCCACAAAAACCTACACATAAAACTATCATACAATTCAGCAAGTCCACTCCTTGGTGTCTGCCCAATGGACAGGAGGACATTCGGTCGTAAAAGCACATTTATTGCAGTACTGTTCACAGTTGCTAAGACATGAAACCAACCCAAATGCCCAAGAACAGATGAATGGATTGAAAAAGTGTGGTACCTATACTTTATGGAATACTACTCAGCCATAAAAACTAAGAGGTTCTGGAATTTGATAGTCAATGAATATACAATATTTAATGAAGTGAAGCAAGTCAGACTATGAAAGAAAGGCATTGTATGTCCCCGGTCAACACATACCAAATATCTGCACTCCATGGCAGAAACTGAAAGATTGGAAGGTATAAAGTCAGGGAAAGCAACTGTGGATACATCTGGACAGTGTGGGAAGATGGTAGGCAATGGGGGTGGATGGGAGAGAGGGAATCAAGGGTAAAAAAAATTTAACAGACACATAAGTGGAAAATTATCTGTTGATAATAATGTGTAAAGTAATGTTTTTGACTGGACTTATATGCAGTGTATTCATACTGGAAAGATTCATGTGTATACTGTGGAGACATACAATGATTAAGTGTAAAAATAATAAAATAAAATTTTAAAATAAAATAAATAAATCATATAAATCATATTTTTCAAAGTTCATCTTTATGCGAGTGTCTTATTTGTGTTTGATAATACCAGCGGGTAAAATAAAACATTATGGGTCAATTCAGACTCCTAATTATACTCTTTCATTATACTCAAAGTTGAATTCATGTGGTGAAACTTTTAATATCTTCTATGCTCTTGGCACTGTTCCTAGAAATTTATGGTAATTAATGCATCTCATTAACATTTGACTTTACAGAAAAATAAAAAGAAATAACATTTAAGTAATATATCTGCGGTAACTAAAATATTATGAACCCTATGATTAAATTCTAAACTAAGATTTTAGTACTGCAATTGCTGATTTCTCAAGATGGAGCCATGTGGTGCTGATGATTATGTGAATGACTGATATTTCTCTTTGCCAGTTTCCCATGGAACAGACATCTTCACTTTTGGCATTTGAAGGACAATGGAATTATTTTGCTACAGCCTTAATAAAGGAACAAACAAGGGACATTTTCTCTGAGGATATTGCAGGCAAAATTTTAATTTGGCCTGAATCTCTGTGGAATGGTATGCTTCTTGGTTCAGTGGAAATATATAGCTCAGACATTAAGGTCAGATGAATGGCTCCAGCTATTTTTCTGGGTTGCACTTTCTTTCTTATAAAAGATTACTGGTGATATCGTGAGAAGAATATAAAAAGTAAGACTTCCATCTGGTATTTCTGGAAAACAGGGGTTATTTCACAGAAAAATTATGAATCGAATATTAGCCATGATGATGACGACCAAGACGTACTGTGAAAGAGTGACCGCCTTAGTCAACATCATCTTCTTTAACACAGCCAAAAACAAAGTTTCAAAATAATCAATCAAAAAATTTTTGAGAGGTTTTTGCTATAGGGCATGTGTTCTCACCAGAAAGACAGAGACAGAGAGAAGGAAAGTAAGAAATCACCCCCAAGGGGGGATGACCACACCGCAATCCCTTCTCCTCCATTCTCTCAAGATCTTGGGCATGCATGTACACGTGCCTAGGGTAAGTTTAAGACACTGGGTCCAGGACTTGAACCACGGTCGACTACATGGGAGTCTAGCGAGATAGCCATTACGCCAACTGATGCTCCCAATCAAATCTTTAAATCAGCATATTGTATGTCCCCACTTAATAGATACCGAGTGTCCACACTCTATGACTGAAACTGAATGACTAAAGGATATAGAAACACAGTAAATGATTATGAATACCAGATATAATGTGGGAAGAGGGTGGGTGAAGGAGTAGAGTCTGAGGAAGGACATTTAGAAGAAAAATAGAGAGGCAAAGCATTAATGGAACAAAGAAATGGGGTATGATCTGTTGAAGATAACTTCATAGTATTATCAACTGGACTGGGGAGAAATGTTCACACATGAAGACATAGCAAGCATGTATAATACTGACATAAAAATAAATATGATGATGATAATGGAAAACAATAGAAAACCCAGAAATAGATACACATATTTACGGCCAAGTGATTTTTTAATATAGGTGCCAAAGAACTTTAGGAGGAAATAAATACTTGTTCAATAAATGATTTGGGGAACAAAGCTTTAATTCAGCATAAATAAATGTAAAATTGAGCTTTCAAATACCACTTTTCTATATCTGTCACGTGTCTAATGTCATAAATCTTCAAATATTTTTCAATAACAAGAGAAGAAAAGCTGGGATTAGATGACTATTTGAATTACAAAAAAATTATATTCTCAGTGTATAATAATTGAATTTCTTGCAACATAAACAACTAATGAGATTTATTATTTGTCTCTCAGGATTCAAATTAAGAATAATGTTAAAAAATGTTCCATGCAAGAATTTTGAATTTATCAAAATAAGTATTATATGGTGACTTGAGATATTTATATTGAAAATAGATATATTAGGGGAATTTTTTATAATACTAGGTAGTATAAGCATAAATGAATATACACGTGAATAAATTCTTATTAAAACATTAATTTAAAATATAAATGATAAATAGTTGAGAGAGAACTGGTTGGACTTTGAGACCTTTAGAATTTTAATCAATAACAACACTTCAGGTAAAAGCACACCATAAACAATTCAATGAATTGGCAGTCACATCTGTACAGATGTTTAAGAAGTCTTTCTTACATATAAAAAAGCTGAACATAGAAAAAAAAATTCACCAAATTCTGGAAATAGCATATGAAATACTTGCGGAACTCATTTGAATGACATAAATTAACATTGATACTAACAAAGCCTGCAATTTTTTCTATTTCCTTCTCTGTGGGTTTTCCCTTTGGTGTGGCCAACTAGATCAAATGCTGGGGTATCCCTGGATAATCACACAAGCACTTGGTGGTGAGCACAAGAGCAGCCAGCTGGATGTAATTCGAAATGACAAAGTCTTAGCTTAAAGTTTGGTGACTTGAAATAACAGTATTTGTTGGAGGGAGAACTTTGCACTGGACTATAGAAAGGGAGAGTTTTGATCATTAGTTTACTGTTGTATAATCCCTTTATGCTATGTAGAGTACATGGGCCGTTCTTTAATTGACATATGTTTCACTGGCTTAGAATGACCCACTTCTGTATTTGCTTTCTTTTAGACTAAATTATTTCTGCTTCATGTTTGGTGCTGTATTTTCTTCTACCCAGAGTCACCCAGAGTGGTAGAACAGATGCAAAATATCACCATGCCCATGGGCTGCAGATGGCCAGTGACAGCGTCCAGGTTTGGTTGTTCTCTGTTGAGCCTGTGTGTGGGGGGGGCGGTCAGCACTGAGCATGAGGCAATGCCCAAGCCGTGGGATACTGGGCTTCTTGTACTACTGCGATGGCCTTAGCTATTTCCCTATCAAATCAAAAACATGCAAAGGCAACTTTAGGCAGTCTTGATTTCAAAATAAAGAACATCTTAGGAGATTCGTCTTAGAAACACTAGGTAACTCGCTGAAGCAAGAGCAGCGAACTGGAAGCATTCAGATCTGATTAAAGTCCCAGTTTCATTATTTGCTGTGTATTCATTGACCAACCTCTAAGAATCTGTCAGCCTTTGAGAAAAGGGAAGATAATCCCTTAGGACCTGTTAAAATGGTCAAAATGCAAAATGCTAAGTACACTTAATGTAGAAATAGAAAAGATTATTTATTTATGACCGTGATCTCATTTATTCAGCCTTAAATTTGGAAATTAGACTAAGCAAAATCAGAAAATGACTTTAAGTATATGCACTGGATATTTTCATAGAAAGAGACATAGATAAAGAAAGAGGTATTTTTATACCTTTAAGAAAAATTTTAGTTACATTTCAGAGTTTAAATACATTTCTCAAAAATACCGTAAGTGTTGAATCTTGAGAATTATTTGTAGAACTGTCATGCAATGAAATTGCAATAGTTGTGACACCATTGTGTGATTAAAAAATAGAGTTTCATATTGTCAAAATATAGTACATAAATACATACATTGTGTGTGTGTGTGTGTGTGTGTGTGTGTGTGTGTTAGCAAATACACATATTTTCTATATCCAGAATAAGAGAGAAAATAAAACTGGCACGTTTATAAATGAAGGTAGCATCCAGTCGGATAGAGAGTGGAACTAAAGATACTTAGAAGGTCGCTCCAGGACAACGTGTTGAACAAAATGGAAAGACGGAGCAACAGGTCGGCCGAGACCGGTTTCGACTTCGTTCTGCTGGGGCTGTTCCGCCACGCCAGAGCCCCCGCGCTTCTCTTCACGCTCATCTTCCTGGTTTTCCTCGTGGCTCTGGCCGGCAATCTTATGATGACGATTCTAATTTGGCTGGACTCTCGCCTGCACACGCCGATGTACATCCTTCTGAGCCAGCTGTCCTTAATGGACCTGTCGTACATTTCCACTTTCGTACCCAAGATAGCCATTGACTTCCTGTCTGGAAGGAACACCATCTCCTACGTTAGTTGTGGAGCTCAGCTCTTCCTCTTCATGACTCTGGTGGGTGCAGAGTGCCTTCTGCTGGCGGTCATGGCCTACGACCGCTATGTGGCCATCTGTCGCCCCCTCTCTTACTCAGTGCTCATGCGCCCTGCCATCTGCGCGCTCATGGTGACCGGGACCTGGCTGAGCGCGCTCCTCAACGCCGCGGTCCACGTGGTATACACGCTGACCCTCCCCTACTGTGCGTCTCGGGAGATCCAGCACTTCTTCTGCGAGATCCCCGCTCTCCTGACACTGGCTTGCGCGGACACATCTCTTTATGAGAATGGTCTTTTTGTCAGTGGTGTCATCTTCCTCCTTGTTCCCATGTCTGCCATCGTGGCCTCATACGGGAAGATCCTTTCCACTGTTTTGGGATTAGGATCTAACCTGGGGATGAAAAAGGCTTTGGCAACCTGTTCTTCCCATATGATCGTGGTCTCCCTCTTCTACGGCACAGCCATCGCCAAGTATTTTCTCCCCAAAGCCTATCACACCGCGGAGCAGGACGAAGTGGTCTCTGTCTTCTACACGATCCTCACGCCCATGCTCAACCCTATCATCTACAGCCTCAGGAACGCGCAGGTGGCTGGAGCCCTCAGGAAACTCCTGGGAAGATAGCTGTCTTTAAAACATGACATCTGTCAAGGAGAGGATGGACAAGCATGGCCCTCTGTTGCAGAAAGCTATTGTGATGCAGAGATCGACAACATACAACAAACAAACGCTGCACTTCTCTGCCCCCTTAGGACCACCCTTCACCTGCCTTAGCGACTGCTCATGGGCCGGCACCCTTCCTGAGGCTTCTTACTGATCCCCGGTTCTCCTAAAAATGTTCTGTCAGTCATCTGCCAGTCTGCAGTAATTATAAACCACAACTGCCTTTTTTCATTAGAAAAGGGAAAAAATGTGTTCTATTCAATATTAACTCTTATGCTAGTTCTTCCTAAGTAGGAGTATTGTAACAACATTTTAAAAGTAAAAATATGTAATAAGTTGCTCAAGACTTAAATATATTACTTACATATTTAAATATATTACTCAGTTGTGACCTACAACACGGATTTAGCTCCCTGTCATCACCATTTTATGATGGAATTTACAGATTTTTTCTTGTTTTTTATAATTGCTAGAAACGCAAAATCGTATCTTTTATTAATATTTACCCAATCACTTTAGTTGTTTTACTTAATTAGCTATAGTTATCTAAATATTTTTATTTTTCAGTTTCCTTATAATTTATTTTTGTGTGTAGCATCTCATTTTTATAATGTTCTCAATTAAGTTTTGAAATAAAAATAATAAAAAATCATTTTACTTGATATTCATACATTATCAGATAATAGTCATGTATATTTAAAACATAACAAAATAAAACATGTATATATTTGTGTGTATACAGTGAATGTGTGTACAAAACAGTTCAATAAATTTAGGGTATGTAGCTTTATGCTCTGTATTTTACTTATTAAGTTGGTATCCAATAGGAATTTCTTTGTTATTGCAATATACACTTGGCCAGTTTCAACAGATGGTGAGCCCTGTGTGTAAGTGCACTCTGGTAACAGTCTTGTTTTGGACTTTTTCAAATGGCTTTTATTTATATATTCTTCCTGGTCTTCATTTTTTTTACATATTTTTACATATAATTTCTTATGAAGGTTAAAATACCTTTAATAATTAATTGAAAAATACTTATTCATTAGTTTTCTATAATTTAATGTTAGCATACATTATGTATTTCAATTTGTATTACTTTTTTCAATTGCAGTGTGGCCATCCTCCGTGTGGGGTGATTTCTTAATTTCTTTCTGTCTCTCTCTGGAGAATACAAATGCCCTATGGCAACCCTCCTCCCCCCTACACACAAAAGAAATAGAATAATTTTTATATTCATAATAGTTTGTATATTTATTTTTGATTTTAAAAAGTCCCATGAGCATGCATATAATGCTCATACTAAATCATATTTGTTTTCTTTATTTTTTAAAAAAAGATTTACTAATATTTACAATGCCAAAAAGTATAGTTTTGGATTTTAATTGAGTATAAATCAAATCATATTACATGCATCTTTCTAAAGCTCTCTTCTCTTGCTTTACATTTCCTGCCTGTGGACCCTGAAGGAAGCCTTCAACTTGGTTTTAGACCCTCTCAGCTATAAAGGAGGAGGTACTGCATTTATAAAAGCGGGGACACACCCAGTGACTAGAGGGAACTTCCACAACAGACTTGGTTAAAAATGAGAACCAATAAGCTCAAGGCAGGTGATATGAAATTTCTGAGTCAAAGGAACAAAAAGAATACAAGAATTAAAAACAGTGGAGTGATGCCGAAAGAGGAGGCTTCTGACTATCCATGTACCCAGAGCAAGTAAATGCTTGCACACGAATTGATTCCCTCCAAGAGAAAGCCAAACACTGCACATGGAGAAACATCCACTTGCAAATGGGTAAGGAAGGGAGAAGTGCATGCACTAGCACAGCAGGAAGGAGGCTCCAGCCTTAGCTTCTTCCTTGCAGGCTGAGGGTCTGCGACACACCGAGGGTGTGCGACACGCCGAGGGTCTGTGACACGCCAAGGGTGCGACACACCGAGGGCATGTGACACGCTGAGGGTCTGCGATACACTGAGGACCTGCGATGTGCTGAGGGCCTGCGATGTGCTGAGTGATAGTGTGATACTGAGGGTGTGCAATACACCGAGGGTGTGCTGAGGGTCTACGATACACTGAGGGTGTGCGATACACTGAGGGTGTGCTGAGGGTCTACGATACACTGAGGGTGTGCAATACACTGAGGGTCTGCTGAGGGTGTGCTGAGGGTCTACGATACACAGAGGGTGTGTGATATGCTGAGGGTCTGCTGAGGGTCTACGATACACAGAGGGTGTGTGATACACTGAGGGTGTGCTGAGGGTCTATGATAGGCTGAGGGCCTGCAATACACTGAGGGCCTGCGATACGCTGAGGGTCTGTGACACGCCAAGGGTCTGTGACACGCCGAGGGTCTGTGACACACCGAGGGTCTGTGATATGCCGAGGGAGTGCAACACGCCGAGTGTGCAACATGCCAAGAGTGTGCAACATGCCAAGGGTCTGTGACACACCGAAGGTCTGCGATACGCCGAGGGTGTGCAATACGCTGAGGGTCTGCTGAGTGTGTGCGACACGCTGAGGGTGTGCGACACGCTGAGGGTCTGCGATATGCTGAGGGTCTTCGATAGGCCGAGGGTCTGCGATATGCCGAGGGTCTGCGATATGCTGAGGGTCTGCGATACGCCGAGGGTCTGTGATACGCTGAGGGTCTGCGATATGCCGAGGGTCTGCAACACGCCGAGGGTCTGCAATTCGTGGTAGGTCAGATTTTATGGACCTTGCTCGGGATTTTGATGTGGGGGTCACTGCTTGAGGAGCGACAAAGACTCGGCACCAGAGGATTTTTCTGAAGGAAAAAGAGCAAGGGAGGTGGGGTTGAACCACCTGAGTCCTACCACAGCTGCAGGCCTGGGACGAACCCGGCTTCCAATGCCTCTGGAACAGGTCTGGCTGCACAAGTTTCCAGCAGCTCCCTGCGCTCTGGCCTTCAGCAAGCCTGCATTTGGGAGTTTATGTGGCAAATCAAAGATACACCTCCTTAAACCTAGAAGGGAAGAATGACACGCCTTGCTTCTTTTTACCCAGATTGCTTCAGTGGTAAGTACAGCAGTGTGATCTTTCCCCATAAAGGTTTTGAGACCTTTTCTAGCTGGAACAGAAGGGATAGTACTCTCTATGTTCACTTCAGCAAGAAGACCTAGCCAGCATATTCTCACAGGACAGTGTTTATAATGCCTCGGTTACCTGAAATGAATGAGTGGGTACTTGCTGCCCCTTCTGCTCTGTCTTGCTCTAGTAATAAAGTCAGACCTGCAGACTCTCCTTGCAAAGAAATTGTCTGACTTTGGAAATCCTGAAAAGGATAGTGAGTACTTACCACACCTTTCTCCCTAGCTGAATGCAATTTCTACAAACATCAAACATACTAAATATTATAGACCCTACTCAGGTACTAGCTTTGAAATCATCTAGCTCTGAGCGTTAACTAAGCTCTGTATTTCTAAGTATCTTAGACCAAAGAGAACAGATAACTTTTAACTTGCAAGGCTTCAACAGCTAAATTTAGAGGAAGTAGTTTGATTGAAAGTAGAAGCATCTTCCATGGATATTATCCTTGGAATAGGGCAGAAGGAGGGAGAGATAAACTCCAGAAGTCTGCTTCTTTGCAACAAAAGGAGGGAACTGGAACACCCAAGTCGTATTTCACCTTTTCCAATTGCATCTAAGGAAATTAGTCAATAAGATGTATGTGAAGGTGAAAGCACAACTTGGAATACCTAATATACATGGGGTCACTAAGAAAAATACAGAGGATGGATAAGCAAAAAGAGTGGAGAGGCACCTAGAATTTCTGGCCAGGCTTACTGGGAGAGGCATCTCATTTAAAGGAACTTCAAAAAGTTTTGAAAAATTGATTTAATGTATGGATTTATTTTGGTGAAAAAAAATTGAAAAACAAAAACTCATGCACTGTTTTCATAATATGGATTTTCCTTGAATTTTTTAAAGACTCTTCATATATAAGTCCAGACTAAAAAGATTGATAGAGGTAGTTCATATCTAATGTTTAGAAATCAAAATAAAGAATCAAGAAAGATATGAAATATTTTCCAAATTTAAAAAAAAGATAAATCTCTAGAAGTTGACTCTGATGAAATGAAAATATATGATTTACCTAATAAGAAGTTTAAAGGAAAATTAATGAAGGTTTTTACTTGGGTCACAAAAGTAATGCATGAACAAACTACAAATGCTACCAGTCCTTCTCAAATTACTCCAAAAAAATTGAAAAAGAGTGAATAGTACAAACTTATTTCATGAGAGTAGAATTATCTTGACACCAAAGGGACTACAAGAAAGTAAATTACAGGCTAATATTCCTGATGAATACCAATGCAAAAATTCTCAACAGAATACTAGCATGCCATGTTCAACATCACATTAAAAGAATTATTCACCATGATCAAGCCTAGGGATTTGAGGGTATTTCAACATATGCAAATCAATAAATGTGACACACCATGATAACGAATGAAGGACAAACTACATATAATAACTTCAATATATACAGAAAAGTATTTGATAACGTTTAACGTCTTTTCATGATAAAATGCTCAAGAAATGCAATGTAGAGAGAAGATACCATTACACAATAAAGGTCGCCCATGACAAGTACAAAGCTAACGTTGTAATACGTGGTGGAAAATGCATGACTTCTCCTCTAAAGTCAAAAATAAAACATAGCACTGAACTTTCTAGCCAGAGCCATTCGTCAAGGAAAAAATAATAATAACTCCACACCCTAGAAAATATAAGTGAATTTGTTTCTATTAGTTGATGGCATGATCTTTTTGTCAAAGGGTGCAAATGCTTGCTGAAGACAAAGAGATGGAAAGTAAGAAATCACCCTCCCTCAGGGGGGATGGCCATGCCTCAATTTCTTCTCCTCTATTCTCCTCTCAGGATTTTGGGCATGCCCGCACATGTGCCTGGAGTGAGTTTTAAGCCACTAGGTCTAGGACTCAAACCATGGTCAACTACATGAGAGTTCAATAACATAACCATTGCACCACTGCTGGTCCTGACATGATCTTTTTTAGAGAAAACACTAAACACTACACCAAAAAACAACAATTAGAACTCAGTAAAACAATGCAATACAATACAATATCTGAAGATACAAAATG